CAGGGGGCGGGGTGTGACGTCACCGGGGTGGAGCCTGCGCGAGACGCGCTCCCTATGGATGGGGACGAGCCGGAGGTTACGGCCCCATCCGGACCTGAGGCTCCGTCCTGCGCTATAGCACGGTCCCGCCCCTTGATCCCGGAGCCCCTACAGCCCTGTGCTGCCCTCCGGGCTTGTGGTCACATGCTATCCTATAGCATAATCCTATAGTTCTTCCTGGGGACTATAACCCCTTATTATCCTATACCCCCTTCCCCTGAGCTATATCCACTGGGTATCATATATCTCCATCCCTCCCTGTATCTATCTCAGCCCTAGGGCAAGGGCGGTATGGAGATGATCCCTGGATAGGAGCACCACAGTTCTTGCTTTTCCCACCACATCCTTACGCACACCTCAAATAACACTTCCATTTTATTAAAGTTGATCCAAAAACATACCAATAAATAAAAGAAATTCCCAACAGTTCCACGTCTGGAGGAGGCAGAGAACAAAGGGGTGCTATGGCCACACTGCCCAGCTCTGTTGCTCACCCACTGGCCTCAAAAGGGACAGTGAGGGGACACACCCATCGGCACTCCACCTCCCTCAACCGGATCCTTGTGGAAAAACAATGGGTAAAACCAGCACCGCGGGGTGAGATGGTGACACTCCTGGGGATGTCACCTGGACTAGGGCCGGCAGTACAGGCGCTCCATGGTGGCCACGCTGACCTTCTGCTGGTAGTCCTCCATCCTGTCATTCAGCTTCTCATAGAGCTGGGAGAGGCAAGAGTCACGAGGGATCCCACCCTATCCCACCACCCAGCCCACCCTGTTCCCCCATCCCGGTGCTTGGGAGCTCGGTACCCACCACGACGCTGTTCTCGCTGGCGCTGCTCTCCCGCAGCGCCTGCAGCAGCTGGTCAATGGCAGTGTAGGGAAGCCACATCGTGGGGGATGATGGGGACAGTGGGACCTGGAATGGACAGGAACCCTCACATCATGTCCCCCAAGGAACATCCTGCCACATCCCAACAGTGATGAGGTAAGCTCACCTCGATCCCAAAATACTGGTGCCCTTTGCCCAGCACAGCGTCCACGTACTCCAGGACCAAATCCACGGCCTCCTCCAGCAGATCATAGTTCAGGTACAGGCGCAGCAGCTCGGCAGCATCCACTTCCTGCCAGAAAGAGGAAAACTCAGCCAGGGAATCTGACCAGGACTGGGACCACACCAAGAGAACCTGCTCTGAGCCTCGGTACCGGGCATGGAGCACCTGGCAGGTGTCTATTGGAGTGAGGGTGACCCAGCAGTTCTAGAATTTCAGGGTTTTTGGGGACAGCTGTCTCCCTGTTCTCACCTTGTAGCTGTTAATGAGCCAGTTGGGCAGAGGTATCCCGTGTGCCAGGAGCTTGTTGATGACGCAGCGATGGTACAGGCTGTTCTGCGATGGGTAACGCTCCAAGTAGGATGACAGCAGCCTCCAGGCTTCATCTGTGGCACTGCAAAGAAACAATTCCCCGTGGAACACATGCCAGCAGCTCCTGCCCCCTCCTGTGAGGCCCAGAGTGTGCTCCAGGTGATGTGGGGACAGGGTGGAAGCACAGCTCTCCCCACGTCCTGTGCCCACAGTTCTGGCCTTAGGGATTTTGTAAGGACCTGTAACCCTCTGGATTCACACAGAGCTCCTGTCTCCAGATCCTTCTCCTCCAAAACTGTGGAGAAATACCTACCTGGACTCTTTGGTGGTGACCAGTGCTGAGAGTTGGTTGGCTGCCAACCAGTCCCAGGCCTTCGCCTGTGCCGCTTCCCCTCCCAGCTGGAGCTTGATGCACCTACATGACCAAAAGGCATGGGAAGGCGGGTCCCCCCAGAGCCCAGCCCCTTCCCAACAGCATCAAAACCACCCCTTGCAGGACTGTTCTCAACGAACAACCCAGCTGGACCGGCAGGAAAAAACGGCTCTTGGGCAAGTTCCACGCCACACCCGAGCCCCTGCATCCTTCCATCCCCGCATCCCCTGACAGGGGAGGGCACCCAGACGTACTTGAAGGTCAGGCCCTCAAAGATGGGCGTCAAGGGCAGCTTGAAGGTTTGGCAGAGGGTGATGGCCGAGTCGAAGAGCCCAGCCCGGACCAGCAGAGACACCGTTTCCTCAGGGGTGGAATTGCCTGAAGGGGAGGAAGAGCAGGTAAAGCCTCCCTGAGGAACACCCCAGTGCTCACCAGGACCTTGCCCTGTGTTACTCATTGAGAGAGATGCAGCAGCAGGGTGCCAACAGCCTCCAACACCCTGCAGCAGTGCTCTTCAATCCATGGCTGGAGGCTTTCCTGGCCTCTGGAGCATCCCATGAGCCCAGGAGCTATCCCTGAAGGGACTGGACAGAGCAGCTGTGACCCACAGAGCTGTCCCTGATGGAGAGGGACTGAAGAGGGACACAGGTAGCAACACATGGTAGGCAAATGCTGCTGCTGTTTGGAATCATTGAATTGTTAATGTTGGAAAAAGATGCCCAAGATCATTGAGGTTAGGGAGGGGACAGCCTCATCACAGGTCTGTATCCAAGCAAACAATGCATCAGCTCTGCCAGCACAGAAACTGTGGCACTCGGCTCCCTGCGTCACCACTCTGACCTCAAAGCAGCTGTTCCATCCTTTCCCTGCAATCCCACACTGGGAAGTCACCTCTTCCTGACATTTAGAGGGGAAAGATGGGGATGTGTTGTGTAACTTCTACCAGAGATACTAAAAGACTCCAGGTGGGATAGTTACACCTTCCTGCTCCCCAGAAAGGAACAACTTTCACAACTTTTTGACTCCATTCCATGAAGCAGGATTGTCCAGGAAAATACATTATTCATCAACTAAAGAGGTTGGATTTGATGATCTTGGAGGTCTTCTCAAACCTTAATAATTCTATGCTTCCATGATTTCCAAAATGCCTTTTTTTGTCCCAACTCTACTGCAGAGGTTGGAAAAGCCAAAAAAAGGTGGAAAACTTAAACTGGTTCTCCTGATGTTCATCTCAGAACCTGCTGAAGTCAGTGGCCGGATTTCATGGCAGGGATGGGAATTTGATGGTCTCTGGCAGCTTCTAGGTTTGCCTCTGGGACAGGACAGAGTGGCTGAAAACCCCTCACCTGCCACAGCTGCTGCCGACACGTCGTGTTCCACCAGGGTCAGCCGGATCCGCGCCAGCAGACATTCCCTCTCCAAATCCTCCAGCTCCAGGATCTCGATCTGGTGAGTGGCTGAAACAGATGGATACTGGGCTCTCAGTACTTAAAAAAGGGCTCTTTCGCCACTGTGCAGAATGTCTTGCAATCACAGAATGGTGAGTGGCTGGAAGGGACCTTAAAACTCATCCACTTCCAAGGGTAAGGACACCTTCCACTATCCCAGGTTGCTCCAAGCCCTGACCGACCTGACCTCGGACACTGCCAGGGATGGGGCAGCCACAGCTTCTTTGGGCAACCTGTGCCAGGGCCTCAGCACGCTCCTAGGGAAGAATGTCTTCCCAACATTCCATTTAGACCCACCCTCTGTCAGTGTGAAGCCATTCCCCCTCGTCCTGGCATTCCATCCCTTGTTCAAATCCCCTCTCCAACTCTCTTGGAGCCCCCTTAGGCACTGAAGAGGCTCTGAGGTCTCCCTAGAGCCCTTGTAAGAGCATCTCTACAGCCCTCTGCCATCCTAAGAGGATTTGTACCCCAAAAAAGCACCAAAAGAATGATCAGGATTTGCTGACTCTTCCCTGCTCCCTTGACTGCTTATGTCCTTGATACCATCCTCCTGCTCCTCCTCCTCCAGATGTTAGATAATATTTGGGAGCAGCTGCTGCTTTGCCTGCCAGGCACATGCCACAAAGAGAAAAAAAAAAAAAAACCCTCTTCAGAAAAGTCAGGTTTAAAAATACCTGACCTTAAATTTTCCTACTGGAACACTGAGGATAACCTGATCCCACATCCTGGGCTGTGGCAGATGCAGGCAGAGCTTATTCCTACACAGGATTTCCAAGGGCACAAACAGCCTTTAACAACTAGAAATTGCCTCAAAAAGCTGGTTTTGTTTTAAATTACAAGTTACTTCCACTGAAAAAATGAGCTGTCAAGGCATCAAGCTGTTAGAAGCAGGCACAGGAGCTCCTTGGGGAATAGCTGTTCCCTTGGGGAAATTACTGTATTCCTTGGGGAATACGGCAGGCGTGTTGCAACTGGGGGACACTGGGAGAGTTATTGACCTTAAAATCCCACAAATTATTGATTTGGTGGAGGCAGGAGCTGCTCTGAGCCATCTCACAGCTCACATGGGAGCTGCAGAGCCATGGGAAGGACCAGGACTGGGCACTTACTGGGAACAGCCATGCACTCCCCATCGTGGCTCCTCTTCGGGGATGCTCCCGGGCGCTCGTACTTGCAGGAAAAAGCAGAAAGAGGATTTTACCCACCTGGTTTCTGAAGGACAAATCATTGACAGGATAAATCCCAACAAGACCTCTCCATTTCAAACCCAGATTTGGACCAGGGAAGATGTACAGTCCCTTGGGAACTCAGGTTACTTTATCCCTGGCTATCAGGAACATCAGGATCAGGTGACCAGGCTACAGCCACCACCTCCCTGAGTCCTGAATGGAATTTGAAACACAACCCCTGTTACACTAACACTCCTCTGGACTGGTATTCCAGCTGTTCACACTTCCTAAAACATTTGCTGTCTTAACACAAGGTAATACACTCCCCTGTCTACCCACCAGCCCATTCACAACAGTTTTCCTGCTTCCCCTCCCGCCCTAGAGATGGGAACGGCACAAGGGTGATGGATAGGGTCGATGAGAAGGGCAAGACAGTTGGCCATGAGCAGCAGACTAAGAAGTCCAATGTCTCTGCTCCCATCAGAAAGGATTTTGGAAGCTCCTTTCCAGGAAGCTCAGCATTCTTACCACAGCTCCAGAGGCTGGCTGCACTATCCAGGCGTATTCCGGGCGGATCAACCGCAGGCAGTTAATGGCAGCCAGGAAACAATTTCCCTGTTTCTGGAGCCCTCGCAGCGTCCGCACCTCCCTGCCCAGCCGCATGCCGTACTCAAACATCACCGTTCCAGCTGAAAACAGGGAAAAGCGCATCAGCCAACAGCCTGGAGAGGCCACACAGCTGGCAGGGGCAGGGAAAGGGTGTCCCAGGCGGGTGGGCAGGTACAAGGTGCCGTCCCAAGCTTTACCTTTCCGGTAGTTGTGCCGGTACACGTGGAAGGCGTAGAGCAGCTCGTAGTAGTTGTGAGTCATCAGATCCACGGCCCGAGCGTGGGACTCGATGATCCCAACGACCTGCAGCACATGGAGGCTCCAGTGGGTCCATAATCCCTTTAAAGGGAGGGTTGTGCTCCCCCCTCCACAAGCCGTGATCCCAGGATTACCTCATTGTGAAGGTTCACGTAAGGGAATTCCACCAGGTCCTGGAGCTGGGATCGCTCGCAGAGAACCACCACTAGCTGGCGTAGGCAGTCCAGCTGCCTGCAGAGGGAAGCACAACCCTTTGGAGGAGCAGGAATAAACCCAGGAGCACGAACAAACCCGGGATTTGAGCCACAAACAACCAATTTGTGACAAGCTCCTGCTTCTGGATGAGCTCTGCAGGCTTTTTCCTGGCTTAGAACCAATTTACACCTTCAAGTTTCTCCTGTGCTGGAAACAGATCCTCTGGAAAGGCCTCTCAGGACGGCAGTCTCCTTCCCTCAATCAGTTAAAAAGCATTCCTATTTCTCCCCTGTTATTCTAACATTTTTCTCTGCTAGGATAAAGCTTTTTCTACCCAGTTCATTTTCCGAACTGAAAACTCAACACTATATCTTTTCTTTATTAAACAAAATCAACTTAGCTCCCATAGCTTCTAAACATAGAATGCTACACATGATCCTTCAGTCTCTTCCCTGTTTTTTCCCCTCCCATTTTCCTCTTTTGAGAGGATGCCAATCCCAGGCATCCTTCAGAACATCCAAAATGAATTCTACATTTTTAAACCCACCTCTACACATTTTTTAAACCCACCTCTACACATTAACCTAATGCAGCAGTAGTTCCCTCCCCTGAAGTGTCATTTTCCTTTCAGTTTCATGGAAAAATGGGACCATGGACCTCCAACAAATGCTTAAGCTTGTCTACCTACCTGCCTGGATCCGGGTTCTGAGTTAAGGCTACATAGGCTTCACTATTGTGCCCCAAATCCAGATGATGTTTGAAGATGCAGGTCCTCAAAGACCAGCAATTCCTGTGGAAGAGGTTTCTGAAGAAACAGCTTGCTGGGAAGGAAGTGGCTGTACCTGGCTTCTCCAATCATCTGCTGATTCCATGATAGCCAGGGTGGCCAGCTCAATGACCAGCTCCGGCAAACCCAGCATCTCCAACAAGCGAAGGACCTGGTGGGGGGAGAATACTCCACTGAAGAGTTGGCAGGAGGGTTTTTTGTTGTTGTTTTTTCTATAGGGGCTGTTCCAGCCCCTAAAGATTTTTAAGGGATTCGACTTTAAAAGGGAGTATTTGGGTAAATCACAGCAATCTGGATGAAATCCCAGCACAACAGGACCAGGTTATGGCTTCTCTGGAAGATTCACCTCTGTACATGGGGGATTTTTGAAGCATTACAGCATTAATGATTAGTTTTCTGGATCCTAAATCCAGGGAATCCCTCACCAAAAGCCCAGCTCCAGGCTCGCAGCCTGCTTGAACCATGGCATTATACAGAAGAAAGATCCTATCTCAAATCAAACATATTCATTTTAATTTGCCTCAGAGCTTAGTAACCTTTGCCTTAGGCAGCATCTTACATCGAGCCTGGACTTGTCTGGCTTCTGCTCCCTGCAGCTGGATCTCATCCTGCCTTTTTCTGCTGGATAACAAAGTCCTTAGCTATTAGGAAACCAATAGGTGGAAAGTACCTAAATTTCACACAATCAGCTTGTCACTACCCCCAGAGTAAAGAAAGTACAGATGTTTCACATTCCAAAAGCTAAAGTTTTCTGAGGCTCAAGTCAATTTCCCCAAAGCCAGAGATTGAGCAGGAATTCCCTCTCCAGTGTGGAAGGACTTGGTGCCAGTTTACCTGCTCAGGACCGTACCTTGTTGTAGTACTGCAGGCGTGGCGTGGAGACCACCTCACCCTCCTCGGGCTGGATCAGCCTGTCCAGGAACTCCTCTCTTCCCACCTCAGAGGCAGCTTGGCAGAAGCAATCCAAAGCCTGGAAGCAGACCTGGAATCAGCTTGCTGTGCCTTCAGGGACTGATCCACCTGCTGTACAGGTGAGGGGACAATACTGCCTGTCCCAAGCTCATGAGATCACACTGGCTGGTCCAATCCCATCCTTTCCAAAGCAAGCAGAGCTTGGGAAAGATGCTTCCCGTGCAACTTCCTCCCTCCCAAGGGAAAAGGTCCCAGACCCTGGGAAGGAGATGAGGGAAAGCCTTACCTTGTGCCCTTCACCCATGACGAGGTAGCACCTGCCCATCATGAAGCAGCAGGAGCCCATGTTCACGTGGCACCATGGCTGCAGCAGTCGGATGTATTCCTACGGGAGAGAAGGAACAGGAGTTTGGATTCAGGTCAGCGCTCGCTTGTGATCTGCAGGCACCCAGAACCAGCAAGTTTTTGGTGGCCTCTTTAGCTACTGTGCTCAGACAAATCCTGCTTCTCCAGCCCGAGGGCTGGTCTTTCCAGCCCTAAAGTCCCTTGGATGCACTGATCATGAAATCCTGGTATGGTTTGAGTTGGAAGGGAACCCTTAAGCCCATCCAGACCCACATCCCTGTGAAAGGCAGGGACATCTTCCATTAGACCAGGCTGCTCCAAGTCCTGTCCAGACTGGCCTTGGACCCTTCCAGGGATGAGGGAGCCACAGCTTCTTTGGGAAACCTGTGCCAGGGCCTCAGCACAAGGAAGCATTTTTTTCCAGTATCCCATCTAGCCCTGCTCTCTCTCAATATGAAGCCATTCCCCCCTGTCCTGTCAGTCCAGGTCCATGTCCAAAGCCCCTCTCCAGCTCTCTTGGAGCCCCTTTAGGCACTGGAAGATGCTCCCAGGAGACCATGAAGCCTTCTCTTCTCCAGGCTGAATATTCCCAGCTCTCTGAGCTCCCCAGAGCAGAGCTGCTCCAGCCCTGTAAAAGGGGGAGATACCCCCACATGCTCCTGGGGAAAAACTGCTTTAAACAGCTCCACTATCTGTATGAAGCACCTTAGAAACACCTCCCAACATGCCCAAAAATCAGACAGGATTCTTCCTACATCCTGTTGCAGGGAACTGCAGGGGAAATGTGGACAGAACGTGGAGAGCAGAGCAAAAGCTGCAGTACAATGGGCAAGGCAGGTGCTAGAAGGGGAATACCTGTGCAGGAGAGGGCCAGCAGCCAAGGAAGCACATGGATTACAGCATGTGGGAGGGAGAGCCAATGGCACTGAGGGCACAGATGAAATGAGATGACCCAGCCTGGGCCTGTGCCATCAGTGCATCCTCGTCATCCTTGGAGAAGCAGCCATGTCCTGCTAGCAGGGCCATGGGACTCAGCAGGAACTGGGAGGAGAAACCAGGAATTGGAAGTCAAGTCAGCTCTACAGGTGCACAAACCACCAGCACCTCTTGCCTCGCCTTTCCTGGCCATGAGTCCTCTCAAAACCACGTGGTGACGCACCTGGAGCCCGGATTCACTGCCTGGATTAGCAGCTACAAGGGACAAATCCTGCTCCAGCTTGTCACACACAATGAGCAGCACGGAGAGGCTTGGCCCGTGTCCCAGGCCTCTGCTCTGTCACCAGACCGTCCCCGTGCCCGCCTGCTCCTTGCAAGGAGCTTCCTGTACCCCCACAGTTCAGGTCACCATGCTCACAGCAAAGCTGCTGTTATCTCCCCAGGGTCAAGGCACTTAATCCAAGTTTCCGTGACCAGCTGGGGTCAGGGAGAGGAACAGAAGGCAGTGGGGAGGAGGAGGAGCTGGGCTCTGCGGAGATAAAAGCCTGGAGGAGACACCAGCGAGGCGAAAGAAATGCAAGGAGATTCAAAGCCTGCACATATGCCAGGAGGGAGAAGATGCTGCTCCAGTCTTGGCATTTCCTGGCTCAAAAGCTCTGAAGAATTGAAATTCTTCTCTCAATTCTATTCAGCAACAACACAAAAGGAAGCAATTCAGCCCCAGGTATGAGGGGCAGGGAGGATAAAAGGTTCTGCTGAAAAACAGGTCGTCACTAACAGCGTGCCTGGCTCTGGTGCCTCCAGGAATGCCCAGACTGGGATAAAGCATCACGTGGAGCTGCAGACAAGGAATTGTGCAGGTCAGAACTTGAGCACAAGCAACTCCAGATTGCTTAAAGACATTTAAGAAATAGATGAGCCCTTTCTGGGCTGAAGAAATCCTTCTGAAGCCAGATCCCATGGGCAATCATGGGCAAAGGCGGTACAGGAAAGGCTGTGGGCACATCAGCAGCCAACAAGCTCTAGGATTGCTGGGATATTTACACAGGCTGGGATATTTAAACAGGCTCTGCAAAGGTGTTTCAGGAGTGTGGCATCACACAGTCAGACAAGCCCTGGGAGAATAAACTCCTCCATGGAAAGGGAATAGCATAAACCTGAGTATCTGGATGCTCTTGAAAACAGATTAAAGAGAAAAATGAAGATGATTCCCCCATGGCAGGGGAGTGGAATGAGATGAGCTTTAAGGTCCTTTCCAACCCAAACTGTTCTGGGATTCCACAATCTTAAATCACTCCCCATCAGACACACTGTTGCACTGTCTCAGCTCAGAGAGCAGTGATTACAGGTGGTGGTTTTCAACTGTAACAGGGGAGATTGACATTGGATATTGGGAAGAAATTCTTCCCTGTGAAGGTGGGGAGGCCCTGGCACAGGTTGCCCAGAGAAACTGTGGCTGTGCCCATCCCTGGAAGTATCCAAGACCAGTCTGGACAGGGCTTGGAGCAACCTGGGACAGTGGACAGTATCGCTGTCCATGGCAGGAGGTGGAACTGAACGAGCTCTGAAGTCACTTCCAACCCAAACCATTCCAGGATTTCATGACTGGGGGAAGGCAGAATTCCAGCACTTGGAAAGACAATGTTTTGGGGAATTTTCCAGCACCTGTGAGAGGGCTGGCATGATGCACTCACCTGGAGCTGGGTGTACTGACAGCTCCCCATCAGGCACTCTGGGAAGAGGAAGCTGGGATTGCTGGGCCATCTGAGCAGAGGTTAAGGAACACAGGACCATCCAGTCTGGAGAGCTTGGAGAACTAGTCTGGAAGTCAACATGCCTCTCACGCTCCGTTTGTGGGGGGAAAGGAGAGAAGATTAAGCTGCTCATTATACAAATCATTATTCTGTAATAAGATTTATCCATATTAGAACAAAATCACCAGTACATCTAATCCCCAACTCTTGTTACCCTTCCAAATCCCCCAGCATCCCGCCCCACCAAGTCAAGTAGTGAGAGCTCAAGGGCTTAAAGTCAAAAACTCAAATCCTTTATCGTGCACCTAAACAGGATGAAATCTGCGAAATCTTAAAATACCCACAAATCCCATTAATGCTAACAACCTCCCTCCTTCAGGAGGCTTGTCTTTGAAATTTGGGGGTGGAAAACTGATTTTGGAACGGCAGGCGGCTCAGTGGCAATGGAATCACAGACAAGGATACAGGAGAGGCAGAAAATCAGCCACTATTGAGGTGATAAGGTGAGGCCAATTCAAGCTTGTCTCAGCCAAAGAGGTGTTGGGTTGCAGGAAGAGTCGGGATATGATGTGTTTTCTGGCCACTTCCTGAAAGAAGAGCTCCACGATTGTTTGAGGGCCGGATACTAAAAGTACAAATTAAAGGAACAGTGAGTAGAGAGCATGCAGCAGAGATCCCAGGTTTTCCACCCTGTCCTGTGCTCATCAGCCCAAACAGCACAGATTAAGTCAGGGCAAAACAAAAGCACGTTCCATACTCCAGCTTGTTGGTTTTGGATTTCTCCTGCCGTCTGGTTAAGTCAGAGGGAGCAGCAGGAGATCAAAGTGCCCCATCCTGCAGTGTTTATTAACCACAGCTCAATTAAAACACACAAAAAAAGGGCTCTGCTCCCTCTCCACTTGTTATTCCCAGCCCAGCTGCAGCTTTCCAGCACGACAGGGCTGAGGGAGTGCTGAGCTGGCTGTTCCATTCCCTCCCTCCTCATTCCAGCATCCCAAAAATCCCCCCTTACTGACTGTTCCCGACGCCTCTTCCCGAGCTGCCACCTCCTTCCCTACGTTTCACATATTTTTCCCTAAAGAACAGTGGCCAAACAGGACTTTCCTCACGAGCCAGCCAAGAAATAACCCACGACACCGGCACACACAAAGGGTGTTTTCAACTTCCCTGACATTTCCAGCTGCCTCCTGCACCCAGGCTCTCCGTCAGGGAGAGCTCGGGCTCTGAGGATCACTGATGTCAGAAAGTGGAGGACGCTCTTTCCCAGCTCACACGTGGCACTGCTGCCTGTTTGTCCCAGATTTCCCCAGCTCCCTCTGAAGTATCTCAGCCTCCAAGTGCTGACTAGTCACAGCAGGCTCTTACCTGCATGCTTCCTTCCCATCCTTGTTCACCTCCTCCCTCTGGAACCACTTCAAGGCCCACATTTCCCTAATTAAAGCTGCCTTATATTCTCCCAATAAAAAACGAACCCAAAAGTTACATCTTTGCAGCAAAACTTAAAAAATATGAACCAAATATCAGCTGCAATGTTTTGGGGAGGTATTTCCACATTTTCAAACACGTTCTGAGCAAGTACTTGTACATTCTCATGCTCCCCTGAGCTGCAGCTCTTGGATGCTGTGGGGTAAAGGCTGGAGAGCAGGACAGTCTGGATGGAGCAGGCTGCTCTGAGCAACTCCAGCTAGTGGAAGGTGTTCCTGAATGGTTCCAGGGGTGGAACTGGAGGAACTTTAAGGTCCTTCCAACCCAAGCCACTCCAGGATTCTGTGACAGATGTAGTCTGAGCTACTACAGCCACTGTAAAGTACATGAGGGCTAAGTTTGGCTGATGCTGCCAGGGTTAGAATGAGAACTTTTTGGCTGAGTGAGGCATTCCCATCCTTCTCAGGCTGAGAGTAAAATCCGAGTTCAAGACTCCAAGATCCTTTGTTGCTGTGGTTTTTTTTTGTTGTTGTTGTTGACAGCCTGACTAACATCCCCACTTAAATCAGGGTCATTCAACCACACAGTCCATTAGCTCCCTGCATAAAGCACTTCCCTCAGGTGGCAGAGACAGGCTTAAATAACAGAAAGGGAGAGCTGATGATCCGTGGACACCTTACCCAGTTTGTGTGGTGTCAGAGCAGTGGTGTCTGCTAACTCCAACACGGAGAGATGCTGCAGATTAGATTCCCTAGGGAAGAAAGGAGCCATCAGTGAAGAGACAACAAAACGCCTCCTGCTTTAATTGTGCTCATTGTTCAACTCCCACGGAGCACAGAACAGCGAGGCCTCGCAGGGCAGATTTAGCACAAGTCAGAGTCAGCTCAGAACTTGGAAGGGAAAAAACCCTCCCCAGTGCTCCTGGAGCGATACTCCCACAGCAAGCACCTGCTTTCCACACCAGGAAGGGCATTTCAGGTGGATTAAGGAGGAATCAAAGCCAGGCCAGGTAGAGACTTACAGCGTGTCCAAGGGGACGTCGGAGGCCAGGCACTGGCTCGCCCACCGGATCAGGAAGTAGGACAGCAGCAGGGGAGAGGTGCGGTGCAGCAAGTCCTGCTGGGACTGGAAGAGCTGTCCCCCTCCCAAAACCATCTGCAAGGAAAGCACAGAGCTTGGCACACTTGGAGCAACGGCAGGACAAGGGCAACCAGAGAGGTTTGTGTCAGGCCCAGCTTGTCCCTTCTGCAAACACCAAGGTGCTCAACAGCCTGGCAGGAGCTCAGCCTTCCCAGGGAAGCAGCAGGGCTCTTGCCCCACCTCTGGAAGTGTTCAAGGCCAGATTGGAAGGTGCTTGGAGAAACCTGGCCTAGTGGAAAATGCCCCTGCCCATGTCAGGGGCTTGGAATTAAACAGTCTTTAAAGTCCCTTCCAACCCAAAGTATTCCAGGATTGCTGTCCCTGAGACTGAAAATAATGATTTTGCTGCAGAGATCACGTTAGAGTCTCCATAAACTCCAGCAAAGAACACGAGTCACAGGAGATGAAACAATCTGAGCTTTCAAAGGACACAGGTATGCCAAGGTGGGAAAGCAGCAGGTCACATGTCTCATGGTCTGGGAGAACCCAGCTCCAGAGGGCACCTTGCAATCCACTTTAAATGCTACCAGGACAACCTTGTACAGGAAAAAGGGATTTATTTTCAAACAGGAAACTCCTGGCTATTTCTAAGTAAATAATATTGGTTTAAACAAGGCTGTCCCTGTCTGGGGACTTGTTCTGTATCCCTGTGTCCCTGTGAGCAGCAACATGCCTCACGTGGCCTCAGGCCTGATGGGACAGACCCAAACCAGTCCATCCCACCACTCCAAACACAGCTACCATCGTGGGGGCTGCTTGCTCTGGCTGGAGCAGCTTCCAAGGGGCTGAAACTGCAGCCTTGGAGTGTGCAGCCACAGAATGGAGCTGCCATCAGTGCTGGGAGAGCAATGGGAGGGTAGCTGGGAAAGCTGCATGTGTGCTGATTCACACAGGAGGCTGGAATTCATGCCCTCCTTCCACAAATACAGCTTGGCTTCCTGCTTCCTGGATGTTCACCCAGGAATAAAGGGAATTAGGCTGCTTTGCTTAGGAAGACAAAACCAGCTGGAGAGAGCAGGACCTGCCCAAGCCTCGGGCTATTCCAACAGCCTTGTGGGAAGAGACGGAGCTCCGCCCTGCACCACCAGCAGAACCCCACAGGATTCCCAAATCCCGGGGCGTGGCAGCCGGGGGCTGCACTCACGGGATCTCCGAGGCGCAGCAGGAGCTGCTGGAGGATGAGCAGGTCCCGGCAGAGGAGGAAGCGGACGGTGCAGATCTTGGCCACTCCCCCGCACACCACGTTCCCTGCGGTGGTGCTGCCGAACAGCTGGGACAGGCTCATGCGCAGCGCCAGGTGAGGACCTGCGGGGAAAACCAGCCAGGTGAGGCAGGAGCCACACAGGCAGGAACAATTCCCAGGGTAAGGACACTTCCTAGAGTTTCCCAGAAAGAGCTTTCACCTCTTTCCATCTCAGCGTCTGTCTCATAGTCCATCTCTCGGATGAGCAATCCAATGGCATGGATGGGGTTCCTGATCTCCTGCAGTTTGCTGTGGATATCCTCCATCACATTTTCCCTGCAAAATCAAAAAGATCGTCATCATCACGAATGGCAACCTGAGGTTCCAACTGAAGAGGGCTCCCTTACACTCCCTTCCAGCGAGGATCAGTATCTGATCAGCCTGGACATTCCTAACTAGAATCCTTGGCTAGCTTGTGAGTTTTATTACAGCGCCTGCAGGGACCGGTCTATTTATTCCACTGCCTCAGGCTACCAGGAAATAACAGCCAGATAGTTGGCATTCCACAAGGAAACGATTTCAGGTTAGCACAGGAACCACACAGGACCACATGGTTTGACCAAGGCTCTGACCTCTCCCTCCAGGCACTTCTTTCCACACCTAAAAGGAATCTGTCCCTCTTCTCTAGGTTGTGGATGGAAGACCCTGCTAACAACACCAAAGCACGGTCCTCATCCCCGGAAAAGTCTCCTGCAGCACAGGGCAAGGAGCCCACACATCTCAAACGCCCTTGGATGTCAAGCAAGGACGGCTCTGGACAATCCCAGCTCAGCCACCCTGAGAAGCTTCTGGAAAACACATCTCCTTACGTGTCATTAGCTATCAAGTCCTCCAGGATCTGCTCTGCAGCCTTTTCTGGAGGCTGGAGGCGGGAGCAGGCCATTTCCATGATGAATGCCATTTCCATGGAAATTGATTCTCCGATCAGGCGAAGGCACTGGACAAGACAGACAACATCACGAGACATCTCCAAATCTGCAATGAAAGAATCTAACTGTGTATTTTCCAAGAGATTTCCAAGGGAAGGTGGGAAGACCATGCAAAAGCCAGTTAGTTCAGCTCCTATCACCAGTAACAGCAGACTGGTCCCAGTTCCCTGTGCCAAACCTTCCCCAATAACAATGAGGCTAAATTAAAGCTCAGGAGTTGATAAGGGAAAGATTTGGGATTTATTGTTTGGAAAATAAAAAATGATGCAATAATAAAAAAATCTAATTCCCTCCAAGGAATCTGTTCCAACCACAGGTTGAAAGAAAATAATTAGTGCAAAAAAATATATCCTAGAGAAAATGTCTCAGCTTGGCTCTGCAATTCTTTATGGGTGAGATTTTAAATTAAATCCCATTTTTTGAGACTGTGACTGTTTAAAACAGCCAGGGCAGGAACTGCTGGGGCTCCCAAATCCAGCCCAGGCCTCCAGCTTTCCTTCCCTCTGCTCCACAAAAAGCTCAACCAATGGACGATGATCCTGCTTTATAAAAATATATAAAAATCACTCAAGCACGAAAGTGGAGCTTAGGTAACATTTTCCATTGCCTTTTTCTTAGTGAAACGGCATTCCAGGGCCAGCAAAGCACAGAGGGCACTGTGGTGACAATATTAATGACATGTTTTCCATACTCTGGCATTCACTTCCTGGAGACAAGGAACAGCACGGCCCCTCTCCAAAGCTGATGTGAAAACATCTCGTAAATTCTGGAATGGTTTGGGTTGCAATGGACTTTAAAGCCCATTCAGTCCCACCCCCTGCCATGGGCAGGGACACCTTCCACTATCCCAGATTGCTCCAAACCCTGTCCAACTTGGCACTGGACACTTCTGAAGATGAGGCAACCACAGCTTCCTTTGGGCACCTGTGCCAGGGCCTCCCCACCCTCACAGGGAAGAATTTCACCCAACCTAAACAATGCCACAATTCCATGATTCTACTGGCAGCCTTGGCACTACTTTCTAATTGCTGGTGTGAGGCACGACAGCCAAGTTCCACAAAATAAGTATCCCTGCAAAGCCCAAATAAAAATATCTCCATGCAACTGTGTATCAGGAGCTCTTCAAGGCATCTGTATGGAAGCTCCCACATCTCTGACAGGAGGGAATAAACTCCATCTATTCTCACCTTCAAAGATGGCAGCATCATCCTCGGTCAGGAGGTGCTCGTTGGAGAGGAGATAGAGATGATCAACCAAGGAGCAGGGCACGAGGAAGGACATGGAGCCCTGAAAGGTGAGGAGAAAGTCCTTGAGCTTCCCAAATCCCCTGGAAAAACATGTTCAGGGAATCTCACCACCACCCAGCCTCACCTTCTTTAGCAGGCACACCATGCTGGTGTAGGGGTTCAGGTGCAAGGCCAGGGGCCGGGAAAGAGCTTCCTGGTACTGCAGGCAGCAGGCATAGAACTTGGACCAGAATTCCACCTGCAGCTGCCAAAACTCCTCTGGGGAGCACTCGTATTCCGTCACACTGCCCTGGAACTGGTGGTGGCAAAACAAGGGAATCAGGAATGGCCGAGTGAAATAAGAACAGGATAAAACAAGGGAAACTCAGACCCAAAAAGAACATAGGGATCTCTCAGGTAGGTCCCCTAATAATTGTTATTTGGAAGATAATCCCTCTATTTTGGAGTCTCCTCCAAAATGATGAGCAATCACTCTGCATGGTGGTGGTCTGGGCACTGTGTGATGGGTGACCCAAGTGCACACAGGGAGCAGAGACAGGACAGCCAGGATTCCAAAAACCCCAGGCAGGAAGGATGAAGATTTGCACTTTTTAAAAAGTTTCATCATTCCCTTTGGAGAACTAAAGGATAAACCAAGGTGTGGAGTCACTTGGCACCTAGAACATCATGACACCATGTACAAAACAATATCCTGGGAGGAAAATCCATCTCACCTCGTTTTCCACGGCTAAGGTGACCTCTTTCCTTAACTCATCCCATGTCAGATCCATGTGCCTCTCAGTTCCTTGAGAAAAGATCTGCAAAGCAGCACAGGAAACTTGGATTTTAAGGCAAAATAAGTCTCACCAAGGACTGAAGCAGCACTGAGTGAGGTAAAGCAGGACAAGAGCATCAGCCAGCACTTTGTGGGATGGAAGTGTTAAAAGAAAGGTCTGGATGCTAAATTTGGGATACATGGATGTGTGGCAGTGTGCAGCCACCACACCTCAAAGGATTTAAAATCCATGTGATGTGGCACTTGGGGACATGGGTTAGTGGTGGTCTTGGCAGTGCTGGATGGAACTGTCAGATTCCACCATCTCAGAGAGCTTTTCTGACCTTAGTAGTTATTCCATGATTCCGTGACATATCCTGACAAACAGCACCAAAGGGCACCGAGTCCCTGTTCTCCTGGCTAAATCAGCAGGAATGAAAAACAAGCTCAGCAACTTGCTGTGCTGTCCAAAGGGGGAAAAAAATAATTATCTGGATTCCAGGTTCCACCTCTGGCTGTGGGCACACAGCAGCTGCAGCACAGCCCAGCAGCCACCAACTCATTCCAGGGACTCCCCATGAAAACATGCCTGGCAAGAGCTCCAAGGAATCCTGCTGCCTCACATCTAAAGGGCCAGGAAGAGGATGAAAAGAGAGCATCCCAAGCTCTCTCATTTACCTGCAAAGCCTTCTGGATAGCTGCATTAGTGAACCGGCCCGGCATGAAGAGATATTCCAAGTAGATTTCCTGCAAAAAGACCGTTACTTAAGGAAGCTCAAGGATGAGGAGAACGTTTAAGCTGCTGATTCTGGTCTTTCTTCCCATTCTCAACATCATCCCCTGGATCTATGTTTCTGTCCACACCCTGCTCCAACCTGGGATCAAAAATGGCTTCCTGCACACCCCTGACTTTGTTTATTCCCATTTTCTCTCCTGAGTGGCCTCACTGTTTTTTGGTGCTGTTCTATGGCTGGCTCACCCTGGGGTCCTGATCCTGTCGGACTGTCACCTCCTCCTCAGGGAGTGGCTGCACAAACACCTGGTTCCACTGGCCTGCAACATTCCTGGAAGGAAACAAACCTGGAATCAGCTTGGTATCCACCTGAACCAAACCTGTGGCTTTCATCAGCAAAAACAGCCCTCTGGGTGTGGAAACAGGAGGTCTGTGCAGTGACAAAGGACACATTTTGGCAGGAGAGGTGAACTGTGGTATTCCTAGCCATAAACTGATGGAACAGGTCGGAATCCTTCATTTAAATCAATGTTCTCCCCATCCCACAAGCTTACAAGCAACTCTCAGACTGACCAGTAACTTAATCTCCTAAAATTTGTACACTCACAGCATTTTTCATCCACTGTTCAGCTCCCTGGCTCTGCACCAACCCACCCTCTCAGCTTTATATTCAGGGATGATCCTTTCTCACCACCATCTCCCCAAAACATGATTTTTCCTGGAAGGGACCATCTGGCTGTTTTAAAGGAGCTGTGGGGAAGCACAGCGCTCCCTCTGCCATGCTCAAACTCCACTTTCAGCAATCCCGCAGCCTGGATTTTAACATTTTTCATGTCCCAGCTTGAGTACAAATCTCTAAGTTGAGGAGTTCTGACAGGGTTTTTCTGCAGTTATCCCAGTGATCCACGCCCAAAACTCACTGCTCAAAGTTGATGTATTTCACAACTGTTTGGTTCTCCTCGTTGTGCCACAGTGCCCAGATCTCGGCTGAGGTTAAGGCAAAGTCAACCAGAGTCTCCTAGGAAAGAATGAAAGAGACAATTTCCTTTCTTATCCCCAAATTAAGAGTACAGCAGAGAAAGGTGGGTACTTAACAACAGCAGTACATTCCCTTGTGGTATTTAACAGGCTTTGGGAATTGTTTAGCCTGGAAAAGCAAAGGCTTTGGGGTGAACTAATTGCCCCTTCCAGTACCTGAAGGAAACCTACAAGAAAGATGGAGAAGGACTTCGGACAAGGGCTTGGAGTGACGGGACAAGGGGGAATGGCTCTAAACTGAAAGAAAGGAGATTCAGATGTGATATTGGGAAGCAATTATTTCCTGTGAGGGTGCCGAGGTTGCCCAGAGAAGCTGTGGTTGCCCCATCCCTGAAAGTGTCCAAGGCCAGGTTGGACAGGGTTTGGAGCAACCTGGTCTAGCAGAAGGTGTCTCTCCTCCTACAGCAGGAGGTTGGAACAAGATGAGCTCTGAGGGGCTCCTTCCAACACAACCATTCCATGACTCTATGATTAAAATCCCAAAGGCCTCTCCTTCCAGGGGGCCAGGCCCCAGCTCTCACCTGCGAGGAGAACAGGGAGGAGATGTGGTCAAGGCTGTAGCGGTTGCTCTCAGTGGTCACCAGCTGGAAGACACAAAACTACAAACACACCTCATAAATAATTTCCTGAAGGACTAGACCAACAATTCTCAGGGAATTTCATCATTCCAGTCCATCTCCCTGCCTGGTGCTAGGGGTAACAGACACCAGAGGACAAGAGGGGTGAGCTGAGCACACCACCAGACCCTCTGCACAGACATGCTGGCTTCACCCTTCTCCCCAAGGACACTCATCCCTGCCTGGCCCTGAAGGACTCCCAGGTCATTCCAAACACTAAACCTGAAAAACTTTAAGACCACCACAGCCAGCACTGCCAGTGACCACAAGATGTGGGAAAAGAAGGAGACTAAGGTGGGAAAGCCCCAGTTCCTCAGCTGCAGGCCTAGCTCTGCATGTTCTTCCCAAAGCAGAGCACTCATGGGACAACAGGACTCATGTTACACACTCTTGTTCTGTGTGGGAATTCCCTGGAGAAAGGGATAAGCTGTCCAACAGATGAGCCTGGTTTGTGCCGTCATTCCCCTCCTGCTAAATTTATCGTTCTCCACAAAAAGTTCTCCCCAAGTTGCAGAAGCATCCACAGGCTCCCAGGAGCCTGGTGTAAACACACCATCAGCATTTCCATGCTTTTAGCTCCTTTTGGACCTTCCCTTTTCCCACGGCACATCCACGCTTTTGGAGCAGGAGGTAAACAAGTGTACTAGCCCTCACAGATCAGCTTAGTCACACAGGGAATTCCACTCCCAAGGCTCGGGCACACACATCCCGCAATGTTGTGAGGGGGAAAATGTTTATTCAGAAAGCGCTGATCCCTCCCAAGGGTCACACATGAAACTTTTCTCTATTTCTTGCCTTCCAAACCCAAGTCTTAGGGGACTCTTCTTGCAGCCTGAAGAGCCTCTGGCTCCATACCTGCCCTCGCTTGGGAGCGTGCATGTAGACTCCCAGGTAAAGGCCCAGGGACTGGGAGAAGGCCAGGCGCAGGCGGTGCCCGGTGCCGGCCGCCAGCCGCAGGTCCCTGCTGACCGGCATGAACTCCAGCAGATCCGCCACCATCAGGCACATCTGATCCTGCAAACAACCAAAGTATCAGGAGAGAGGCTTAGGAAATACTCTGGATTGAGAAAATGCTCATCTCCCTCCTCTCCTTTCCCTTCTGACAACATCTGCCCAGAATTTCCCACAACAGATGTTAATTAAGGATCCATACATTTACCTGAACCGCTCCTTGGCTTCTCCTAGCTCACCTGGGCCCCCTTCCCACCAATCCCACAGGCTGCCGGAGCCCAGGCATGTAGGATAAAGCTTCCCCTCCCTCCCACAGCACATTCCAGTGCCACTGAGCCGTGAAAGCGACGTGCTGCTCCATTAGCTCTGGCACTCAATATCTGGAGCAAGAGGCTTTTATTAACTTCTTGTTGACAAAGACACTTTCATTACTGTTAAAAGCACATGAAAATCCATTTGGGATGGCTCCTTGGGCCTCAGAACACTCCTGCCCGCCTTCCCAAATGCTCCAGTTGGTCTGGAAAAAACAACTCTTATCCCAGGAATGCGGCCGGGCAGGAAACCCCTCGCTTCACAGACACTGCTACCCAACACACACCATGACTGTTCTCACATATTGTCCCAAAATCCCAGTGTGGAGAAGCCACAATTTAACGGGAGACAGATCCATGCCAAGCACTCACCCACGATTCCTTGGGCTTCATTTTGCTCCCCCAAACCCAAGTTCTGCTCACCTTGTAGGACCACATCCGGAGCTTATGGTCCTGGCAGAGGGCGAAGAGGACAGCGTCGTGATCCAGGCAGTGCACGGAGAGGCTGACGGGCACATCCGAGGGGCCGCCATCGCCTCTGGAAAACCAGAGGTTACATCAACACCTTCAAAGGAAACTCTCCATCCCTGGAAGTGTCCAAACCCAGCCTGGACACTGGTCTAGTGGAAGGTGTCCTTGCCCTAGGCAGGGGGTGGGACTGGGTGAGCTCTAAGGCCCTTTCCAACTCAAGCCATTCCAGGACTTCATGATTTTAAAATCACAGCAGGTGCACAGATCCAAGGCAGTGGAGTTCCACCCCTGCACTTAAATCCGAACAAACCGGTGGGTGAGGTGAGAAGGGAATGTTTCAGCATCCATGGAACAGAGGATGACACCACACCAGTGACACTCAGTTCTCCACTTGCTTTGGTGGAACTGAAGCACATTCTCACCTCCCCATCCCCAGCCAGGTACTTGCAGAACACAGGTGAAGAATCCAGAGGGGAAAAAAGGATCCAAGCAACCCCCAGCACGGATCCTGCCAGCCACTGACAAGGATCCAAGAAGCCATGAGCAAGGATCCTGACAGCCCCCAGCAAGGATTCTGACAGCCCCTAGGCAACATCCCCCAATGGTCAAAGTCACTCAGGGCATCAAGGGACTCACTCCCACTTCCAAGAAAAAGGCCCTAGGATTCAGCTGTGTGCTCTAAGCCACCCTAACAATCCCAACCCTAATGATCCAAATCCACCACAGAGCATCCATGTGATTCCCACACAACCTCTGCTTGTCAGGAACGCGCCTGGCTCCTCAGCACCAGGCCAGAGTAATCCCTAATCCATGCTGGCTGCAAGCCACATCCTGAGCAAATCCTTGGAGGCCAATTACTAGAGAACATATTCACAGACACATGGAATCAGCAGGACCCTGCTAATCCAGCATTCCACTCCCAGCTTCCGTACTCTGATAGCTCCTGTGACCCTGTTAACTTTTTTGGGTGGAGTATTTATAGGTGCCTGTATGACTTGAGCTAAAAATTCCAGGTGAGGGGATCCAAAAGCCAAAATTAGCTCAGTTTATCCATCTCCAGGCATTCACCTGATGGCAGTCGGCATCCAGCCCGTGAGGAAACGCTGCACCACCGAGCTCTGCTTCAATTCCACGACAGAAACACTTCCTTAAAAGCAAAAGGAAAATCAAAAATGAAGATCAAACGAAATTCCAAGGCGGGTGAGGGGCTGTAGTGCACAATCCTTACCCTGCACATCGGGAGGAGGCAGCTTAAGGACAAAGATCCCTCCTGAGGCAGAGGGAAGGGCGAAGAGAGCCTCCCCCTCACTGCTCAGCCAGGCTGCAGAGGCCACGGAGTTGGGAGCCAGCCCCGGCACGCTGGGAATCACGTAGTAATTGGAGGGATCCCTGATGTGGATTTTGCTGATATCTGTAAACACAGACTGCACTTGGCTCTCCGTTATCAGCTCCTGGAAGGAAACAGGAGAAAACAGCCTCAAGTTGTGCCCAGGGGAGGTTTAGGTTGGGTATCACAGAAAATTCCTCCATGGAAGGGGTTGTCAGGCATTAGAACAGGCTCCAGTGGTGGAGTTCCCATCCCATGGGGACATGGGTGGCCTTGGCAATGCTGGGGAATTGGCTGGACTCCATGATCCTAGAGGATTCTACAAAACATCAAATCCTGATGATATCCTGATATCTAAGGCACAGGACAAAAAAAAACTAAAACCACCAGACACTGATGGAATGACAACTGCATCCTTGATAAAAAGGACTTTTCCAGTAAAAAATCTCAGGGACAGCTCAGAGAAAACCACTAGTGACAAATCCCAGGAAGAGCAGCTCTGCCACAGCACAGGGTCATCCCTTGGGAAAGCTCTCCAAAGTTCTATAACTAGGAAAGAAGCTCTCCAGGAGGGAAGAGGATCCTGGCAAGAAGCAGGCACAAGAGGAAAATCCAGAGCAAATAGGGAGAATCACAGAATCCTGCAATTGTTTCAGTCAAAAGAGACCTTAAAAACCATTCAGTTCCAACCCACAGCCACAAAAAGATGGTAAATGTGATATAAACCCTGCCTAGGATCCATCTGCCACGTGAAATACCAATTCCAACTCAGACAAAACCAGCCTGCAGCCTTCTCAGCTGAGGAAAAAAAAAGACAATCCAACCAGGAAGGATTCGGGAAAAGCTGAGACTCATCCCCGACAGCATCTCAACTCCAGTGTCACCACAGTCCACATGACACAGACTGAAGACCCAGTCAGTTCCTGAGCAAAACACTAATTCCCCACACCTCCACTTTTCTTCTTGTTCCCGATGTATTTTGGGTCACGTACCCCCTTCCCAAGCCCTCCCCGTGGTGACGAGGGTCGCCTGCCCCGGCCCCGGGGGCATTCCCGGCACTCACGCTGCGGTAGAGGCGGGCGGGGTGCGGGAGCAGCAGGCGGTGCACCGTCTGCGCCGTGAGCAGCAGCACCACCAGGTGACTCTGCACCTCGCACAGGTGGATCCCGCCCGGCAGGAACGGGCAGCCCTGGATCCGCAGCCGCACAGCGTTGTTCAGCAGGTTCACGTCCAGGGACTCCTCCACCAGCTCCACCGTGTCCCCCGACGTGCTCCTGCGGGAACAGAGGGGCAGACGTGGACGAGGAGGGTCTGAGAGGGGAGAGACGGGCAGAGATGCGGGAGATCTGAGAGACGGGAGGGTCTCAGGAGGGTGGGAAGGGAGAGGTGTGGATGAGGAGGGTCGAAGCGAGGCAAGGCGGACGGGGGCGTGCACTCACCATCGCACCCAGCGATTCCTGGTGGCGGCCCCGAGCTGCGCGCTCTCTTGGTAGCAGAAGCCGCCGGCGCTGTCGCTGTAGCGCCCGGCAGGGAGCGGGGCGACGCCGGGGGGGATGAAGACCAGCTCCTGCGGGG